GGCTTTAATATCTTCTAATTTTTAAGTACATTTTTATTTCTCAAAGTTAAATTTGAAGAGTTTATTTTCAAAATATTTCTCAGTTACCAAAGTGATTTACAGCTTGATCACAGAATATTATTACTGTGTTTTCCCAAAAGTAAGACCTACCCTGAAAGTAAGCCCTAGCTTGATTTTTGGGGGTAGGCCTAGTATAAGCCCTACCTCAAAAATAAGCCCTAGTTTTGAAGCGAGGCGCATGCCTAAAAATCAAGCAGGGGTGGGGGGGTGTAGCTTGATTACCATGCCTCCCATGAATCGACACCTGCCTCTCCTCGCTGGTCCACTTCTGCGGCATCCCCTGGCCTACATTTCACAGTCAGAGGCCTTTCCAGATGGCCTCTGCAGCTGAGAACTGAGCTATGGATTCAAGTGGCAAAATGCAGGCGGGAACTCCATTCTCAGCTGCAGAATGAAGGTGCTCCTTCGGCCGCAGAAGAAGTGGGCCAGCTGGGCAGGGCTGTTGGTGCTGCCACCGCGAAGTGAGTGGAAAAGATACCCCCCAAAAAATAAGACCAGTGCCTCTTTTGGAGGCAAAATAAAAATACGTCCGGGTCTTATTTGGGGGGAAACATGGTAATTTAAATATAGTGATGAGTTATCAAAAGGCACACAATATAATTGTAATACCTGTAGAGCAGGGGTGTCAAACTGCTGGCCTGCGGGCCTGATGCGTCATGCCAAAACCGCGCCCACCCCATTGCTGGCAATGGAAAAAAAGTTGCAATACATTGCGACATGTCGTGTGACGTTGCGAGTTTGACACCCCTGCTGTATAGGGATAACATCATTAGATGAAAGATTGGTTGTCTCAAACGTTCCGTCCCAGTAACCACCTACATCGACACAGAGGGTAGCTCTTCTTCTTGTGTTGGTGCAGCATCTTTGTAGTTACTGCTGCTGTTATCTTCCAGAGGGGTGCTGCATTTGACATCCTTCCCCTAATTTCAGCATTTGAATAAAATGGAACTCCTATGAGCCCTTTTTTTTACATATATTCTTTGCTTTTTTGTATATTCTTTCTTTTTCAGTTCTTTTTAACTGTACTTGATATTAAAAGCTTGGACTCCGACTGGTTGGTCCAGGGAGAGGAGACGGGAGCAGGTCTTGAGACGGTTGTATGGGAGGAGTTTGACTCTGTTGCTCCTGAAGATGTGGACAGGGTCCTGGGGAGACTGAATGCAACCACATGTTTATTAGATCCGTGTCCCTCCTGGCTGGTACTGGCAGCCAGGGAGGGGACACGAGCCTGGTT